AGATTGGAAATGTCTTGGAGGAATGACCAAAATATTGTGTCTAGATCTGATAATAGTTTCGGTCAATATATGAATTGGCATGGGGGCATACAACAGATATAATAAATTAAGATGGAAAGCAATCAGAATTGTTGTCAGTTTTGTTACCTATCTTGTTTTACCCGGGATGGAAGACAATGGCAGCTAATAAACTAGGTATGGCCATGTCATTGCCAATGAATAATGATGTGTATTTTTCCTGTGAAGGACAAGCATCTGATGTCTGATAACTTCCAACTTAAGTATGGCCAGCTAGTATCCCAGCCCTCAACCCCACCCCTGGGAATAATTTCATATAGTCTTCCCTCCACATCTTCGACTCACAGATGTATTTGATGTATTTATCAGGAGTCTGAAGACAGTTATGATATTGTATGTTTGAGAGAAGGAGCTTTAAACCTTTCACTATGGAATAAACAACTCAACTTTTGATGGGGATATTTATATTTTCTTGGTTCACCCCACTTATGATGTCATTACTCTTAAAATACTGAACAAAACAATCAAGGGATTATGAATATCATGGTCATGATACGTTTTTGTAGTGAAAACTGAGCACACAATTTCATAAAAATATCTCCAAATATATTCGACCGCCTCCGTGGTTTAGTGGTAGAGCTTCCGCCCATAGAGCGGAAGGTCCAGGGTTTCATCCCCGGCCGCGTCATACCAAAAGACATTAAAAGATGGTACTCTTGTTGTTACCCTGTCTGGTGCTCGGCATTAATGGGCTAAAACTGGGACTGGTCGGCTTGGAGTCATTATACTGTGTCTGAGTGGTTATTCATGTTAAACTGCGGCATGGTATCTCAGTGGGCTAGCACTATAAATCGGCATCAGTCCGGGCTAGTACAAGCATCCACACAAACACAAACACAAACACACACACACACACACACACACACACACACACACACACACACACACACGTGTGCATGCACGTCACTATTTATAAGTGCAATAATCTTGGACGAGACGTTTAACCCAATTTCACTTCACCTAAAAAAATATTCACAATCCCTTACCTTTTTCGTTATGTATATATGTAGATGTAGAAGTTTGAAGTATTTCAGTATTCTTATCAAAAGTTGAGCTGTATAGTTATAAAGCTTACAAAGTTACAATAGCCAATGTCATATGAAATATTGAGCGTGATGTCAAACAAATCCATATATTTAATGTCATTTCAAACATTTCATGATAAAAAAGTAAGATTGGCAATTGAGTCTTCAACTTATTGATTATAAACATCCCATTAAATGACAAGCTTTCTGGAGGTTTTATGAAATGTATAGAGGTGAGTGAGTGAAAGAGTTCGGTCTGACGCTGTTTTGAGCAGTATTTCAATTATATCATGGCATATCAGATCATAAAGTGTGGGAGAACCACCTCAAGTGTCACTATGATGGTGAGGTGATGATGGGTTCAATGCCATGTTCAAGGTTATCGCAATTATACAGCGATGTGCAAGTATGTGTGTGTGTTGTGTGTGTGTGTGTGGAGTGTGTATGTGCATGTGCATGTCCATGTGCATGTGCATGTGCGTGCGTGTGTGCATGCGTGCGTGCATGCGTGCGTGCGTGCATGCGTGTGATGTTCTTATCTGGAGTAATGCTGGTTTAATAATGCTGGTTTAATAGTGCTAGCCAATTGAGATACTATGCCACAGTTTAACATGGACACCCCACTCAGACACAGTATACTGACTCCAAGCCCTTGTTCTATCCCTTAATGCCGAGCGCCAGGCATAGTAACAGCAAGTACAATCTCTCAACATCTTTTAGTATGATATGCACTGGGATCAAACTACCGCCCTTCACGCCTTCGGGCAGACGCTCCACCCTGTAGACCACAAAGGCAATCCAACATTAGGAAAGATTTTACAACCTTGAGCAGGATTATAGGGTGCTGTTCCAGAGAGGCAGGAACAGGATATTTCTGGGACTGAAACTCATGGCCAGGATTAGAAGATTGCTGTTGTTGAGTCATAACCCCCTGATGCTATCGCTTGTTGCTCATGCTATCAACCACTGTTTAATCAGTTAGCATGGCTTCTTTGAAGCTGCTTGAATATTGCAGGCTGCAGAACAAAACAATGTCATTGAAGGATGTCACTGATTTCATATTGTTTGCTGTAGTGTCTTGTGTTAATGATCAAAGAAGCAATCTGTGAATTTGTTATATCTGATTTATTTATTCATAAGAGGTGAGGTGAGGTGAGGTGAGGTGAAATGGGGTTTAACGTTGCGTCCAAGATTATTGCACTTATATAGCGACGTGCATGTACGTGTGTGTGTTTGTGTGGCTGCTTGTACTAGTCCGGACTGATGCCGATTTATAGTGCTAGCTCACTGAGATACCATATGCTGCAGTTTAACATGAATACCCCACTCAGACACAGTATACTGACTCTGAGCCGACCAGTCCTTATTTTAGCCCATTAATGCCGAGCGCCAGACAGGGTAACAACAAGTACCATCTTTTAACGTCTTTTGGTATGACGCGATCGGGGATCGAACCCCGGATCTTCCGCTCTCCGGGCGGACGCTCTACCACTGGACCACGGAGGCGGTCTTATTCATAAGAGGGGACAGTGGGGTATCATAGTGGTTAAAGCATTTGTTCGTCACGCCGAAGACCCGGGTTCGATTTCCCACATGGGTACATCGTGTGAAGCCCACTCTGGTGTCCCCCGCCGTGATATTGCTGGAATATTGCTAAAAAGTGGCGTAAAACCATATTCACTCATTCACTATTCATAAAAACTGACTTCAATACGTTCCCATGTTTATGATGGTATAAGCACAATGTGTGCCCACTGTTTTTTTAATTGTTTTAACATAGTAAAAATACCTCATTTATAAACACAATATATGCTACTCAAAAGAAGAAACTTTTTCACATGACTATAGTTAATCGCTCATGTCATGACAGATTAACTATAGTCACATGAACTAATCAGGTTTCTTAACTTCTTTTGAGTAGTTTATATATTAAATTCGTGACAACACAATCCTAGTGCAGTATATCCACATTGCTGAAGCAGAAAGGTTAGATTTTGTGCAGAATTCCTGCACTTTTTATAATCAATTTATCCCCCGTCACAGCAAGGACAACCTAAACAGTCTATGTCAAAATCTGCTGTCTAAACTTGTGTTAAATGTGCTCTTGCTTGACAGAGATTTTACTAGATTCAGACAGCAGACTGCCCAAGGGTAATTTAAGAGTCATAGCAATTAGTTCGCTATAGTCCTGAGACTGGTGAAAATTGGAAAGACTGCTTGTTTTCTTCCAAAATCTAGTTATGTTACTTAAACCTCTCGTTCGAAATGAGCCATAGACCAGTTGGTTTTAACTCACAGTGTCTGCCCATGGTGGCCTAATAACAATTTCAGTCAACTGTCTGAAGAGTGTCTATAAGGTACACACACCAGAGTCTTGTTAACTGGAAATGCTTGGGACTGTCAAATATATAACAAGCTGGTGTTTCCAGGATAGTGACACGCTGGAACCTGACTTGCAATTAGCATGAAATCAATAGCAACATAATATGGTATGTATAATCAAGTGCTTATTGCATCAGAGGCAGCATGACAGACAAGAATAAGATTAACACCAGGATATTAGAGTCAGCGAACATCAGTGGTGGTGTGTGGTGGCATGTGGTGGTGTGTGGTGGCATGTGGTGGCATGTGGTGGCATGCGGTGTCATATGTGGTCACAAATCAAGCAAGTTACATTGGTCATCAACAGTGGGTGGATAGGTTGCTGTGTTTGGCAAGTTTGACTCATGAGTTTCCACGATCCTGCCTTACACTGAATCCAAGGTCACATGTTGTGTTTCCTTAGGCAAGTGACTTTGTTAAAAATATACCACTGTTAACCCAACAGTGAATGGGTACCCGGTAGGATGAGATGGTAATGTGACTGTTGACCTAGCACCTCAAAAGACAGCTTACATTGTATACTTCCCATGGAGCTGAGAATGAAATTTAAGTGTAAATTAAGCGATCCACAGACTGGGATGATAATTTTGTCTGGCATTGTGTGCAAGCACTAGTTTACGGAATATAGCATTATTAATACTGATGGTTCAGTTTTATTACAACATTTCAGGTTAATGTAAAGGATGCTGGATTTCTCGTCCAGTAAATCCATGGGACCCTCTATACTCTAACACACTTAAGATATCATAATGCTACAATCACTTTTTGATGCTGAAGCCAGAATTCTAGTTACGATGAACGATGGCTTCTGGATGGACCTCGTACCATCACCTTCAAGCATCAGTATATCCAGCTAATGTTGTTTCACTGTAAGACATAATGCCGAAGATACACATGTGAGTTCATCTCTGTTCCTGTTAAGAGAAACATGTCACGCAGGCAAGATAAAAACCTCACTGATGACAGATAAAACGAATTGAAACTCGATTTTAATCCTGAAACTTTCAGACATGCAATAGTTTGTAAGTTTAAACAATAATGACAAATCAATGACGTTTTTATCAGCAAGTGTACCGAACTTATTCCGCAGACTAATCTCCTTTGTTATCCCACTTTGTCCGACTACATACAAGGAATAGTTCCTGCAAATGTCGTATCCGTGACGAGTAGGTTTGTTTGCCAATGGCAAGTTGGTAGATGTCAGCATGGACACCCCTTACATTATGAAATTATCTCGTTACTATGTCGATCGCCCATAGCCACACTCACACACTGAGTAATTGCTTCCTACTCGATAAAATTGTCACGTCTATAAAGCAATTATCAGTTACTTGTAGTTTCAGTGGCATATCTGGCCAAAATCACATAGGGGACTGACTGAGAGGTAAATCATTGCCATTGGTGTTCGTATAGCCCATGTAGCATTTTGTTCTCTAACTCAATTGCATACCCTGCGAAGATAAGAATGCTAATCTAATTACCAGGTAGCAGTAATTGGGTTTTAAATGTAATCAAATGCAGGCCTGGGTTGTTGGCTGTAGACTTTCCACTTCCCCTCATCAGCAGCAACAGCAACTACAGCTTCAGGCAGTGCCTGCTGGTGTGGGGTCAGCCCTCCGGGGCACCAGGAACATCTCCAGGGTTGCGTCCATGTTGTGTCGGGTTGTGTCGGGACCCTGTGGCCCCTTTGCCCTTTAGCTGTGAATGTCTGATCCAATTAGAAACAACAACTGCTTTACAGGATAACAAATTGGCCCAACTGGGAATTTCATGCTTATCAACTTTGTCATTTATGATATCGAATTCATTTTTGTCTCTTTGTGTTCACTCAGTAAGGATAATGGTGAAGTAATGTGTTCTCTGTCCGTCGAGAAATTTTGCTGAGGAGTAATTTGGCTCTGCGCAACAGCTCATTTGAAACTACCATTGATTTGTTGAAAAAGTCCTCCGCTAATACAAGTGTTTTTCAGTATTCAATATGAAATTATGATGTTAAGGTTATTTTAAGAAGGTTGAGATGAAAAAGATAATTTCATATATTTTGACATGCTTCCAAGATGGATGTCTACTTAAACCCATATTGACACATGCATGTGGACATTTCAAAAGACGATCATTAATAATAACTACACTTTTCTAGTTAATGAGCAAGGAAATTGGCCTTCATGCTATAGGTGAGCCATATATATGTACTACAGTGATGCCATACAGTTTGTGTTATTAGGTCAATCATTTTTCACAGCACAGAGATGTGATCGTGTTGTCAAGTCTGAACTAAAGGCAAACACAACACAGGCTTGTGAATGTGTTATTGAGCCTCAACTGAATGTTAGTCACAGGGTTCTGATTGTGTTATTGAGCTAACCATATGCCAGTCACAGGGTTCTGATTGTGTTATTGAGCCAATTTAATGCTAGTCACAGGGTTGTGATTGTGTTATTGAGCCTCAACCTAATATTAGTCACAGGGTTGTGATTGTGTTATTGAGCTAATTTAATATAAGTCAAAGGGTTCTGATTGTGTTATTGAGCTAACCATATGCCAGTCACAGGGTTCTGATTGTGTTATTTAGCCAATCTAATGCTAGTCACAGGGTTGTGATTGTGTTATTGAGCCAATTTAATGCTAGTCACTGGGCTGTGATTGTGTTATTGAGCTAACTTAATATAAGTCAAAGGGTTCTGATTGTGTTATTGAGCCTTAACCTAAAATTAGTCAAAGGGTTGTGATTGTGTTATTGTATGTTTGTTGTTTAAAGCCGCAATCAGCAATGTTCCAGCTCTATGACGGCGGTCTGTAAATAATCAAGTCTGGACCAGACAATCCAGTGATTGACATCATGAGAATCGATCTACGCAATTGGGATAGAATGACATGCATCAACCAAGTCAGCAAGCCTGACAACCCGATCCCATTAGTCGCCTCTTAGGACAAGCATAGTTGCCTTTTCCGGAAAGCATGGGTTGATGAAGACCTATTCTACCCCGGATCTTTACAGGTCTGATTGTGTTATTGAGCTAACTTAATATTAGTCACAGGGTTCTGATTGTATTATTGAGCCTCAACCTAATATTAGTGACTGAGTTCTGATTGTGTTATTGAGCTAACTTAACATTAGTCATAGGGTTCTGATAGTGTAACTGAGCCAACTACATGCCAGTCACAGGGTTCTGATTGTGTTATTGAGACAACTACATGCCAGTCACAGGGTTCTGATTGTGTTATTGAGACAACTACATGCCAGTCACAGGGTTCTGATTGTGTTATTGAGACAACTACATGCTAGTTACAAGGTTCTGATTGTGTTATTGAGACAACTACATGCCAGTCACAGGGTTCTGATTGTGTAATTGAGCCAACTATATGCCAGTCACAGGGTTCTGATAGTGTTATTGAGACAACTACATGCCAGTCACAGGGTTCTGATTGTGTTATTGAGACAACTATATGCCAGTCACAGGGTTCTGATTGTGTAATTGAGACAACTATATGCCAGTCACAGGGTTCTGATTGTGTTATTGAGACAACTATATGCCAGTCACAGGGTTCTGATAGTGTAATTCAGACAACTATATGCCAGTCACAGGGTTCTGATAGTGTAATTGAGACAACTACATGCCAGTCACAGGGTTCTGATTGTGTTATTGAGACAACTATATGCCAGTCACAGGGTTCTGATAGTGTAATTCAGACAACTACATGCCAGTCACAGGGTTCTGATTGTGTTATTGAGACAACTATATGCCAGTCACAGGGTTCTGATAGTGTAATTCAGACAACTATATGCCAGTCACAGGGTTCTGATAGTGTAATTCAGACAACTATATGCCAGTCACAGGGTTCTGATTGTGTAATTGAGACAACTATATGCCAGTTACAGGGTTCTGATAGTGTAATTGAGACAACTATATGCCAGTCACAGGGTTCTAATAGTGTAATTCAGACAACTATATGCCAGTCACAGAGTTCTGATAGTGTAATTGAGCCAACTACATGCCAGTCACAGGGTTCTGATAGTGTAATTCAGACAACTATATGCCAGTCACAGGGTTCTGACAGTGTAATTCAGACAACTATATGCCAGTCACAGGGTTCTGATAGTGTAATTCAGACAACTATATGCCAGTCACAGGGTTCTGATAGTGTAATTGAGACAACTATATGCCAGTCACAGGGTTCTGATAGTGTAATTCAGACAACTATATGCCAGTCACAGGGTTCTGATAGTGTAATTCAGACAACTATATGCCAGTCACAGGGTTCTGATTGTGTAATTCAGACAACTATATGCCAGTCACAGGGTTCTGATAGTGTAATTGAGACAACTATATGCCAGTCACAGGGTTCTGATAGTGTAATTCAGACAACTATATGCCAGTCACAGGGTTCTGATAGTGTAATTCAGACAACTATATGCCAGTCACAGGGTTCTGATAGTGTAATTCAGACAACTATATGCCAGTCACAGGGTTCTGATAGTGTAATTCAGACAACTATATGCCAGTCACAGGGTTCTGATAGTGTAATTCAGACAACTATATGCCAGTCACAGAGTTCTGATAGTGTAATTGAGCCAACTACATGCCAGTCACAGGGTTCTGATAGTGTAATTCAGACAACTATATGCCAGTCACAGGGTTCTGACAGTGTAATTCAGACAACTATATGCCAGTCACAGGGTTCTGATAGTGTAATTCAGACAACTATATGCCAGTCACAGAGTTCTGATAGTGTAATTGAGACAACTATATGCCAGTCACAGGGTTCTGATAGTGTAATTCAGACAACTATATGCCAGTCACAGGGTTCTGATAGTGTAATTCAGACAACTATATGCCAGTCACAGGGTTCTGATTGTGTAATTCAGACAACTATATGCCAGTCACAGGGTTCTGATAGTGTAATTGAGACAACTATATGCCAGTCACAGGGTTCTGATAGTGTAATTCAGACAACTATATGCCAGTCACAGGGTTCTGATAGTGTAATTCAGACAACTATATGCCAGTCACAGGGTTCTGATAGTGTAATTCAGACAACTATATGCCAGTCACAGGGTTCTGATAGTGTAATTGAGACAACTACATGCCAGTCACAGGGTTCTGATAGTGTAATTGAGACAACTATATGCCAGTCACAGGGTTCTGATAGTGTAATTGAGACAACTATATGCCAGTCACAGGGTTCTGATAGTGTAATTGAGCCAACTATATGCCAGTCACAGGGTTCTGATAGTGTAATTCAGACAACTATATGCCAGTCACAGGGTTCTGATAGTGTAATTCAGACAACTATATGCCAGTCACAGAGTTCTGATAGTGTAATTGAGACAACTATATGCCAGTCACAGGGTTCTGATAGTGTAATTCAGACAACTATATGCCAGTCACAGGGTTCTGATAGTGTAATTCAGACAACTATATGCCAGTCACAGGGTTCTGATTGTGTAATTCAGACAACTATATGCCAGTCACAGGGTTCTGATAGTGTAATTCAGACAACTATATGCCAGTCACAGGGTTCTGATAGTGTAATTCAGACAACTATATGCCAGTCACAGGGTTCTGATAGTGTAATTCAGACAACTATATGCCAGTCACAGGGTTCTGATAGTGTAATTCAGACAACTATATGCCAGTCACAGGGTTCTGATAGTGTAATTCAGACAACTATATGCCAGTCACAGGGTTCTGATAGTGTTATTGAGACAACTACATGCCAGTCACAGGGTTCTGATTGTGTAATTCAGACAACTATATGCCAGTCACAGGGTTCTGATAGTGTAATTGAGCCAACTATATGCCAGTCACAGGGTTCTGATAGTGTAATTCAGACAACTATATGCCAGTCACAGGGTTCTGATAGTGTAATTCAGACAACTATATGCCAGTCACAGGGTTCTGATAGTGTAATTCAGACAACTATATGCCAGTCACAGGGTTCTGATTGTGTAATTCAGACAACTATATGCCAGTCACAGGGTTCTGATAGTGTAATTCAGACAACTATATGCCAGTCACAGGGTTCTGATAGTGTAATTCAGACAACTATATGCCAGTCACAGGGTTCTGATAGTGTAATTCAGACAACTATATGCCAGTCACAGGGTTCTGATAGTGTAATTCAGACAACTATATGCCAGTCACAGGGTTCTGATAGTGTAATTCAGACAACTATATGCCAGTCACAGGGTTCTGATAGTGTTATTGAGACAACTACATGCCAGTCACAGGGTTCTGATTGTGTAATTCAGACAACTATATGCCAGTCACAGGGTTCTGATAGTGTAATTGAGCCAACTATATGCCAGTCACAGGGTTCTGATAGTGTAATTCAGACAACTATATGCCAGTCACAGGGTTCTGATAGTGTAATTCAGACAACTATATGCCAGTCACAGGGTTCTGATAGTGTAATTGAGACAACTACATGCCAGTCACAGGGTTCTGATAGTGTAATTGAGACAACTATATGCCAGTCACAGGGTTCTGATAGTGTAATTGAGACAACTATATGCCAGTCACAGGGTTCTGATAGTGTAATTGAGCCAACTATATGCCAGTCACAGGGTTCTGATAGTGTAATTGAGACAACTATATGCCAGTCACAGGGTTCTGATAGTGTAATTCAGACAACTATATGCCAGTCACAGAGTTCTGATAGTGTAATTGAGACAACTATATGCCAGTCACAGGGTTCTGATAGTGTAATTCAGACAACTATATGCCAGTCACAGGGTTCTGATAGTGTAATTCAGACAACTATATGCCAGTCACAGGGTTCTGATTGTGTAATTCAGACAACTATATGCCAGTCACAGGGTTCTGATAGTGTAATTCAGACAACTATATGCCAGTCACAGGGTTCTGATAGTGTAATTCAGACAACTATATGCCAGTCACAGGGTTCTGATAGTGTAATTCAGACAACTATATGCCAGTCACAGGGTTCTGATAGTGTAATTCAGACAACTATATGCCAGTCACAGGGTTCTGATAGTGTAATTCAGACAACTATATGCCAGTCACAGGGTTCTGATAGTGTTATTGAGACAACTACATGCCAGTCACAGGGTTCTGATTGTGTAATTCAGACAACTATATGCCAGTCACAGGGTTCTGATAGTGTAATTGAGCCAACTATATGCCAGTCACAGGGTTCTGATAGTGTAATTCAGACAACTATATGCCAGTCACAGGGTTCTGATAGTGTAATTCAGACAACTATATGCCAGTCACAGGGTTCTGATAGTGTAATTGAGACAACTACATGCCAGTCACAGGGTTCTGATAGTGTAATTCAGACAACTATATGCCAGTCACAGGGTTCTGATAGTGTAATTGAGACAACTATATGCCAGTCACAGGGTTCTGATAGTGTAATTGAGCCAACTATATGCCAGTCACAGGGTTCTGATAGTGTAATTGAGACAACTATATGCCAGTCACAGGGTTCTGATAGTGTTATTGAGCCAACTAAACATGCTAAATGTTACTCACAGGGTTGTGATTGTGTAAGTGTACATCAGCGTAGGTGTGTTGAGATACCTGTTACACTAAGACTCTGTAAGTCTATGTCAGCGTAGGTGTGTTGAGATACCTGTTACACTTAGACTCTGTAAGTGTACGTTAGCGTGGTGTGTTGAGATACCTGTTACACTAAGACTCTGTAAGTGTACGTTAGCGTAGGTGTGTTGGGATACCTGTTACACTTAGACTCTGTAAGTGTATGTTAGCGTAGGTGTGTTGAGATACCTGTTACACTTAGACTCTGTAAGTCTATGTCAGCGTAGGTGTGTTGAGATACCTGTTACACTAAGACTCTGTAAGTCTATGTCAGCGTAGGTGTGTTGAGATACCTGTTACACTTAGACTCTGTAAGTGTATGTTAGCATAGGTGTGTTGAGATACCTGTTACACTAAGACTCTGTAGGTCTATGTCAGCGTAGGTGTGTTGAGATACCTGTTACACTAAGACTCTGTATGTCTATGTTAGAGTACGGGTGTTAATTATCATAATCATAACGCTAAGACTTTCATAAACCTATGTTAGAGTATGGGAGTTCTTATGATTGTAGCAGACCCGTGAAGATCCAGGGTAGAATAGGTCTTCAGCAACCCATGCTTGCCATAAAAGGCGATTATGCTTGTCATAAGAGACGACTAACGAGATTGGGTGGTCAGGCTCGCTGACTTTGTTGATGCATGTCATCGTATCCCAATTGCGTAGATTGATGCTCATGATGTCAATCACTGGATTGCCTGGTCCAGACTCCATTATTTACAGACCACCATCAGCTGGAAGATTGTTGAGTGTGGCATTAAACAAACAAAATATAATTGTGACACAAAGACTCTGTAAAGTCTATGTTACAGTACAATATGGCTGAAATATTGCCGATGTGACTAACTATTAACTCAGTCACCATGTGAGAGTTCTGGGGAGACAGTCATAGTGCTGGGATCACTCTGTGGAACAAGGCCCTGAAAAGAAGGAGACTTTCGGTTTTTCCATGGACCCCATATTCTTCATCAAGAAAACAGAAAAACACATAGAACAGTCAGACCAGGTATCCTAGCATATTGGGAAAAATAGAGGATATTATATGAGGAAATAGGGTTCAACGTCACGTCCAAGATTATTGCACTTACCGGTACATAGCACATAGAATACCCCAAGCTGACCATTCCTTGTTTTAGCCCCTCAATTCCGAGCGCCAGACAGGTGTTTCCCTATAACAAAAGCGTAACCACAATTTGTCGAATGACATCAACAATCTTCAGCTATGACGTCATTTCTAGTGTGACATCATTCCGACCTCACATCACAATAATCTTTGAGTGACGTCAACAATGCCGTCTGGATGACGGAAGCAATACACTGTTGCATTGTGACATGACCCTAGGGCTCATATGATTTTTATGAACCCTGATAGGTAGGTTATAAGGCTCCATATCCTCTTAAAAAGACACTAATCCAAGCATATCAATGCTTAGTTGATGACTTTAATGACAATTAAGCCTTGTAAGAAACATGGACTCAGTGTGTGAGTGAGTTGGGATTAAAGTTGCTTTGGATATTACTTCAGTTATATGATGGCTTGTAAGTTTGGAGAAAAGGCCAGAGCGAGGACTGTCCGAGACCACTTTGGTGAAACACAGGTATGCTGCTATCAAATCTAGAAACTTAATTAGAGAGAACCAGGATTCGAATCCATAATCATAGGTTATTGATTCAAGGAACTTGATAAATCCTCTGTATCTATGAAAACATGGCCTGTCTGCTCCAAAATCTATATGAAGCAATTGAGTCCCAATAGTGGTAAAGGCACGCACAGCGAATTACAGTACCTGAGATAACTAGGCCACCGATGCCCCCAAACATGGACTCAAGACTCAAATACGAAATTTCCTAAAGGATTTATTTGTTAAAGAAAACGGACATAAACAACTAGCTCTGCATGTCCTGTCAAGTCAGTTGTTGCTAGGATTGTCCTAATGACGACTTTTCCCATCGAAAATAGCCACCAAGAGATATGAAATTGACTGTAATATGCTCAATATTTTGCAAAATTAGATGTCCAACTTGAACTTCAAGTAATCCCTCGACAGTCACATCTTTTGTGTGATTAAGAATCATGTCTCTCCTGATGACTGTTCAGCAGTGGGTTTAAGAGAAAGAGGATAAGAACGCTGTAATCTAACATGGAAACAGGTATTAACACTTCTCACTGTTGAATGGAAATTGAAGGCTTAAATCATCTCTCGTTAGTCCTCTCATGTTGCCATGAGGGACTTTAGAAACATTTGACATTTGACACTTCTTTCCTTCATGAAAATGCCCCAGTTAGGATTTGTAGTGGAGAAATCCTGCAGAATCTATATTTGTGCAATTTAAGAAACTGCAAGCATCAGAAGGGTTGAGTGTTGTCGTCGGCTATTATTACACTGTAGGATGGTGATTCAAGCTTTAGGACCTCAGGCCTGTAGTGGATGACATTGTATGACATTGCTTGGTGGCTTATGTTGTACGACACTGAGAGTGAAGAGTGGAAGATATATATAGAATTGTAATTATTCAGTTACACTGTCTGTTTGTTTGTTGTTTAATGCCGCACTCAGCAATATTCCAGCTATATGATGGTGGTCTGTAGATAATTGAGTCTGGACCAGACAATCAAGTGACTGATGTCATGAGCATCGATCCAGGCAATTGGGATACGATGACATGTATCAGCTAAGTCAGCGAGCCTGATCACACGATCTCGTTAGTCGCCTCTTACGACAAGCAAAGTCGCCTTTTACGGCAAGCAAAGGTTACAAAAGACCTATTCTAACCGGATCTTCTCGGGACCTTAGTTACATTGTATGACATTCCATGGTGACATAAGACAGGGAAGATGTATACTAAAGATATTATCATGGTTCATCTACATTGTCATTGCATATTCAACAATAGACACCATGTGATCATCCGATTTATAATAAATTATTAGATTTTCATCCCCATCCAGCAACCACAAAGCCAAACACTGTCTCACATCATTGTCCCATCAGCACCTACAGATGAAGACAACTGCTATTTGTCATTTTTTTCCATTATACTTGATGCAGTACACCATAGATGAAGTCCTACCAAACATCCATGATTCATGCAAAGTTGTATTTTATAATGATAAAAAAAATGTTGATGATTGTTAGAGATAGGACCCTTTGTCCATCATTTCATCTTATTTAATGAGAGTTACTCCCCTTGTTCAGAGAGTGGGTGTACCCTTATTCAAACAGGAACAGGCATCAGGCTCGTTAGCCCAACTTGTCAAGTTAGTATTTTAATTTCACAAAAAGATGTCATCACCTAATCCAGACTTTCGTCCACAATAAAAATCAGCGGGGAGTGGAATGCTGGGCATTAAGAAGCTCTAAAAGCTTCACCACACTCGGCAATAGTTGACGAGGAGGTTTTTGTCAAGAAATGTCACGGACAAGAAAGTCAGCCATGACAGCACATCACTAGGACGAAGTGTCGATTGTGACACTACCAGTTAGATTAAAACACATCCGTTGGCAGATGTACACATAGGCCTTGATCTGTTTGTTTATAAGAAATCCTCACACATCACGTTTTATTTTTGACTTAAAGAAAATCAAATATTTGATATACTGTGGCATTATGTTGACTATTTGTAGCCAAACGTGTCAATGACCTCCCACTTACTTCATTTCAATCACACATTCCATTGTTTGGGGTTACATCAACACAATAAGAAATAACTGACAATATTGCTGACTCGGGAGATCTTCAACCGATAAATCCCCAAGCTCCTTCCCTGCATGTGACGTACACCTTCGTTACCCTCCCGGTATCCTAGCTGCCACCACTGTGTAAGCACCATTACAAGATTCTTAAACATTTTCCCTCTTACCCCAAATGTAGTGACATTTATATTTGTGTGAATGTCTTTGAGAATGCCATTCTAGGCAATTGGTAAAAGGTTCACGACTGATTTACAATTTGCCAGATGAATTTATGTTTGTTTGTTTAATCAGACTCGTTCGAGATTGCAGACTTATGTGGTCTTTGAAAGGCATTTAGAAGTGATACACATAAGGAAGAGAATATATGGATGTCAACTTCTTTATTATGAGGAACACATAATAAAGTGTTCCTCATAATAAAGAATTTGACATCCATATATTCTCTTCCTTATGCAGACTAATGGAAAACCACCCAACTTTCCCCTTAGATTCCACTAAACAAATTACATGACAGTTGAAATGAAATAGAAATTCAAATTTTCAAACAAACAAAACAATCTTGCTATGCGAAGAGTATTCGCTGTCATGGTAGTCATCACTTGTTTGTAACCATACCAGTCAGAAGTTCAACTCCATGCATGGTTGTAGGCACCTAGCACAGTGGGGAGCTGTGACTGGTGGCAGCGATGGTATACAGAGCTCTGCGAACAGGCTATCAACATGAGGAGGTTGATAAATCCCATGTATCTATGAAAACATGGACTGTCTGCACCAGAATCTATATTAAGATATAGAGTCCCAATAATGGTAAGGGTATGTACATCTCAACCTGTCTGGTGTCCTTGGAGAGATAGAGGATTAGACTGACCTGCCCCTATTTCAGGTTGGCACATGCAGTTATTCTTGTACAGGGATGATTGTGTCTGCAAAAGACTATATAAAGTGTCAAAAGGAAGCTACATGCAGTTCGCATCACAGGAACATGTAGACTGACCACACAACAATCTGTTCTTCATGCTGCTTCTGATCAATCATGGAAGTGGATCTTAACCACTACACTAAGTGTTAAACATTATTTATCACTATACCTTTTCGGAAAGTTCTTCAAGATACTGGAAATAAACTTAATCAACGTCAGAGGGGCTTCAAATTATAAATGTCATTGATTGAATTTGTTAGTGCAAGTGACAGCAGCCCCTTAATGAAGTGCGCTTGTCTGGTTGGTATTGGACCTGCCGTAAGGACGGTTTGGCACAAGGCTGTTTCTTTCGGGTCATCAATTCATAACTCTAGAAATTTGTCCACCTTAAGACATTTTCCATCAATCAATGACCGCCATTTAGCATCCAATATTTGATAAGGGTATTTTCAGCTCGATATTTTTCGCCAATAAGGTTCTGTCCACAAATCATAAAATGTTACAATCAATCACAGTATTTGGAAGCAACTATGTAAACAATTGGATTAAACCTGACCTCTGGCCTCCACCAATCAAATGACAGCAAATGGTTTGACCTCTCTTTGATAAATTGTGCGGAACTCCATCTGTCATCCTTTGTCACGTTATGTACAAACACTACAGACTTCTCGAACAACTGGACATTCATCTTCAACAAACTTTTCACGGCAGAAAAACCCAAACCAAAATATTTCAAAGCAATTAGTCTATCAATTATGATCAACAATCATAATGTATCAGTGTCAAAAACACAAATTGGTATCAGGTGTCAAATTCTAAACATTAAAAATTGTCACACTAGACTCGTGTAATCTGTTAATGTACAGAAGCGACAAGCCTGTTTGCTGTCTACGGTGATCGCGAATGTTCTGTTAAGCTGTGAAGACGGTATAGCCCACAGCAACTGCTATATTAGTTAATGATGAGTGCTGCCTCTCTGGCCAAAGGGTCAACAGCTCTCACGACAAATGGCAATCATTGAGGCAGCAGGCAAAGAGAGCAAATCTGACACATCAAGTTAATCTTGATCCAAACTAGCCTGAAAAGGGCAGAGAGGGAATAATTTGGTATTCACAATCATTATGTCAAGGTGCCCTTGCTGGCAATGGTCATATGATATATAGTTAATATTAATCCTAATTAACTAGCCAAATAAAACACTGAATAATGTTATATTTACAATCATAATCACAATATGGCACCATCTTTTATATGAAAAATAATCTCGATATCAACCTGCCAAAATATAACACAAGTAAGTGAGTGAGTTTTGTTTTATGCCGCTATAGCAATATTCCGGCAATATCATGGCAGGGGACACCAGAAATGGGCTTCACACATTATAACCATGTGGGGAATCGAACCCGGGTCTTCGGCATGACGAATGAACACTTTAACCACGAGGCTACCCCACCACCCCTCAACACAATTGAGGCGACTATGCTTGTCATAAGAGGCGACTAACAGGATGGGGTGGTCAGACTTGCTGATGCATGTCATCTTTTCCGAATTATGTGGATCAATGCTCATAATATCAATCACTGGATTGTCTGGTCCAGACTTGATTATTTACAGACCGCCGTCATATAGCTGGAATATTGCTGAGTGCAGTGTTAAACAATAAACAAACAAACAAACAAACAAACAAACAAATTAACACAATTGACTCATGTTATACCCACCATCATAATATATGGTTCCTAGTATGGCAATTATGTGATACAGCAAAATATCCTTGATCCCAACAAGCCTGAATACAGCAACAAGACTCCGATGTTATATTCACAATCAGGTCACAGTGTCCTAAGCTAGCAATAAATCTGACAAACAAATGCAATATCATGAACCAAGTTTGAAAATCCTTAGTTAGGAATGATTTTCTCCAACAGTCCTCAATATAATTGGTCATTCATCACAAATGATAGCCACTAACACTGTACTGGATTGAAATGAAACCAAATTAAAAACACTGGGTTTTTTCTTTCAGCATTTTCTTTTAGCTTTCTCTATGAATTTTGCCAATGACATGTTGAAGAAGGGATTGGAGACCACATTGTGATTATCCCGGTAAAACCTTTGGGGATAATGTTTTACTTGTCTATAATCATCTAAGGGAGTGAGTTGGATTTATTGTCGGTTTGAACAGTATTTTACCTATTGTTTTCAACAAAATCAGTAAATGTGCTATTGTATGTTTGGATTTCTCGTCTATCGTTTGAATGGCTATACATGCCACCGTCGCATGGCACGAGTACTGCTGTGTGGTGTCAGGCAATAAAGACTGACCATTTTAGGCAAATTGTTGAGTGAAAGCTCATACAAATAGGTCAGCATTAGTTAAACATACACATAGTCAGCATCAGTAAAACATTCAAATAGGACAACATATGTTAAACATACAAATAGGACAGCATCAATAAAACATACAAATAGGACAGCATCAGTAAAACATGCAAATATATCAGTCCCAGGATTAAACGGCATTTGAAAAAGAAAATCCAATGCCTCATTGCACAAAAGAAGCTGTACACACAAAATCGAGTGATTTTGTGAGTGAGTGAGTTTGGTATTCCAGCAAGCAAGATTATGATGGGGACGCCTGTAATGCTTCACACATTGTACCCATGTAGGAATCAAATTGTCACTTGACAAGCAAACTCTTTAACCACTTGGCTACAACACCAACTCTTAGAATCGGTTATGTTTCATTTGTCAGCCTTAAGGCTGGGATGGCATTGAAGATATAGAGATTATTATATGAGCATGTGTGTCAAACTGATTTTATAAAACGAGTGTCAGAATTCTTGTATTTCCAAATCAAGAGTGAGTGTAATAATGAATTCTTACAAGAATTTCGTAAAATCAGTATGAGACACATGTGAGTGTAATAATTTCTTTATTACCCATTATTTCTTAATCCTTTTGAGTTCCTTTTCAGAGTGAGTGAGTGAGTGAGTGAGTTGGGCTTAACGATGCTTTCAACTGTATTCAAGTTATATCACGGCATGTCAGCTTAATGTGGGAGGATAGCCCTAAGTGATGCAGGTCTCAGATGTTTACCACTTCGGTGAAACCCACGAGCACTGGTATGGTGGTATGGACAAACCTAGAAACATAATCAGGGCGAACCGGGATTCGAACCCACAATCAGAGGTTTCTGGCGTGCCCAATTGACGCAACTCTGCACAGCGCATCGCGGCGCCTTAAACGACTGGGACGCCTGTGCCCCCCTCCTTTTTAGAATAATGCAGCCACAATTTGTTGAATGACGTCAACAATCTTCAGATATGACATCATTTCTAGTGTTACGTCATTCCGACATTACATCAATATAAGATTTAAATGATGTCAACAATGCCACCATCCAGATGACGGAAACAATACTTTGGTGCCTGAGAAGTGATATTTGCACTAGTGATTTTTATGAACATGGTTACTTTTAACCCTATGGGTAATTAAGGTCCATATCCTAAGCCAGTTTATCATTACTGTACCGTAATGTACCGGCACCAAAAACATCTCCAGCATAGACCTAATCCTGCTGGAGATGTTATTTGCTGTATAAAAACTGAGCTCATCAATGTCCCATATATAAGATAAATATATCAATACAGTCCTGTCATCTTTTCAACTTCCCAAAAAACCTTTTGTGCTTAACAATGACAATAGATTTAGTGCATCATAAACAGTCTTCTTGTAATGTTACAACTATGTAGTTTGTCTCTCAACAAAGCCAATTGCCAGGAGAGCCTAGCCTGCAATAAACTATTTTAGTCATCTCCAGAAAAGGTCACCTTTATGCTGTCAGTTGTGTCTTATCCAGAGCATCATCTGCATCATCAGTATTTCAGTAATAGATCATGTACAGACATAAAGCATTTTATTAAAAAAACAAGAATGGGTATGGTGGAATCAGATCAAAGCTCATAATTATGATCAGCAGATCCTGAATTGGCTAAGAGACACAACTCTACACAATGAATAGCGTCCTTGAAGCCACTGGGCCACCATACCTTCATCCCTTATGACATGTCAGTACCCTTGACAATATCATTACATATAGCCAGCACGTAATTACAACTGCAGATGAAGGTGACAAAAGGCATTTCTGTAATCATAGGTGATCAAATAGTGATTACACCAGGTGTTCACGAAAAGGTGACCATATCCTGCCTCACGAGTGGCCCCATCACAAACACAAGCAAGGGCAAGCCATATATGTCCCCCCAAACACAGGAGAACACATGGCACAAGCCAAAACAGGTAGCGGCACCTTACATCACTTCATGACACTGCCACAACACATGCAGCAAACAATGTCAGTGATCTGAGCAGTTTTATCAATTTGAACATATTGCTTTGTCTGTTCTTTGTCTCACCCGAGAAGATCTGGGTTAGAATAAGTCTTCAGCAACCCATGCTTGTCGTAAGAGGCGACTATGCGTGTCGTAGGAAGCGACAACTGGATCGGATGGTCAGCTGACTTGGTTGATGCATGTTATCGTATCCAAATTTGGTAGATCGATGTTCATGATATCAATCACTGGATTGGCTGGTACAGACTGGATTATTTACAGACCGCTGGAATATTGCTGTTCTTTGTCTACAACAGTTTCTTTGTTTTCAGCATACGGCCTGTATGATGACGGAACAAGCATACCCTACTTCAACCCTCGTCCTAACAATCTCACCTACTACAGGGGCGACACAGCCATCCTGCAGTGTTCTATACAACATCTAGGTACAAAAACGGTAAGTGCTGATTCCATCTTTAACTTTGCTATACTCACACTCTAACTTTACTGAACCTATCCAAGATAGGACCAGGTATACTCTCATGCCTGGAGCAGGTGTACTCTTACACCAGGAGCAGGTATACTCTCACACCTGGAGCAGGTATACTCTCACATGTGGAGCAGGTATACTCTCAAACCTGGAGTAGGTATACTCTCAAACCTGGAGCAGGTATACTCTCAAACCTGGAGCAGGTATACTCTCAAATGTGGAACAGGTATACTCTCACATGTGGAGCAGGTATACTCTCACATCTGGACTAGGTATACTCTCACACCTGGAGCAGGTATACTCTCACACCTGGAGCAGGTATACTCTCACACCTGGAGTAGATATACTCACACATCTGGAGCAGGTATACTCTCACACCTTGAGCAGGTATACTCTCACACCTGGAGCAGGTATACTCTTACACCAGGAGCAGGTATACTCTCACACCTGGAGCAGGTATACTCTCACATGTGGAGCAGGTATACTCTCAAACCTGGAGTAGGTATACTCTCACACCAGGAGCAGGTATACTCTCACACCTGGAGCAGGTATACTCTCACATGTGGAGCAGGTATACTCTTACACCAGGAGCAGGTATACTCTCACACCTGGAGCAGGTATACTCTCACATGTGGAGCAGGTATACTCTCAAACCTGGAGCAGGTATACTCTCACACCTGGAGCAGGTATACTCTCACACCTGGAGCAGGTATACTCTCACACCTCGAGCAGGTATACCCTTAAACCTGGAGCAGGTATACTCTCAAACCTGGAGCACGTATACTCTCACACCTGGAGCAGGTATACTCTCACACCTGGAGCAGGTATACCCTTAAACCTGGAGCAGGTATACTCTCACATGTGGAACAGGTATACTCTCACATGTGGAGCAGGTATACTCTTAAACCTGGAGCAGGTATATATATACTATATTACTGCTTTATCACAGGGCCTACAAGTCCTACATGATTGAGAAGCACCACGGGAAGTAACATCAGTTTGCACAATATTGGGCACTTTTTAATAAGCTATTTGATCTTATTTCAGTGGTATTAGCTCATCTAACCACTACTATCAGTTCATCTCAGCTCATGCTTGTTTATGTCATCTTACCTAATCATACCACACCTCTTTTTTCCCATGTATAAGTCATAAGGAACCTCCTCTCCACAAATATGCAGCTAAGTGATCTGAGAGGTCCTACTCCCAACATAAACATACATGTCTTCCTCTGCAAGAATATGTTTTTGTCCCATGTTGCCCAAGGACATGACCCACACACATCCTTATGTCCAGGATGCGGAAAGCGAAAAAAGCATATTTCCACAGGCATCTAATTTGCCCAAATTTTCATGTCCGGAATTGTCAGCTACTTGTCTGGAATTACACCATCACAGCCTGAGGTATGGTGAACCATTGTGTTCATGTTGTGTTGAAGTCACTGCACATTCAGTAACATGCTAATGGAATACTTAACTGCAAAAGATTTTCTCCGTCAATCAAACATACTGGGTCATGCAAGTCAGAAGCAGTATCCATGCACTCCTGTATTGCATGAAAAATAACCCTTTAATTATTAATGAGTGAGTGAGTTGGGCTTAACACCGGTTTGAACAGTATTCCAGATATATCCTGGCATGTCAGCTTAATGTGGGAGGTAAGACTGAAGTGATTCACATCGCAGGCATACTGAGGATGGGTACGGCGCTGACAAACCTGGAAACAGTCAGAAACCAGTATTTGCATCCGCGATCATAGGTTTAGTCTGGTCTTGGATCATGGATTGTCTGGTTCAGACTGAATTATTAACAGACTACCGTCATACAGAGTGGAAAACAAAACAAGTGGTTGATAGCAAGAGCAATGATCAACTCCAGCTGTACACTTGTAAGCAAGGATTATATCCTACCTAAATATTATCCTGGGGGAAGTTTTACTCTAGAGTATAGTATAGGATAGGATTAAACACACTGGGTTAAAATTCACTCGGGAGAATCATCCTGACACTAGAGAATTTCATCCCCGGGATAAAAAATATGCTACATTTTTCAGCCATATTGGATTTAGATAATGGTGGGAAATTTGATCAATTCAGAACAAGTAGAGTCATTGAGCAGCATTGCCAGTAACAGCTTAGAGACAAACATTTAGATGGGAGGAGGATATTTCTTAGGTACAGGATATATTTTCAGTTACCACTTCAAGAGATATTTGTTTTAAAAACACATAGTTTTTCAGGACATCCTGCAAGTCTCCCAAACAATTTTTTCCCCAGTATTTTCTGGAACAAATTATTTACAAAATCCCAGTAATCCAAAGTGATTAAAGCATCAATCCAGGTTCGATTCCCCACATCAGTACAATGTGTGAAGTCCATTTCTGGCGTAAAAACCATACTCATTCACTCCACCCAGAATACCCGTGAAGATCCGGGGTAGAATAGGTCTTCAGCAACCCATGCTTGTCGTAAAAGGCGACTAACGGGATCGGGTGGTCAGGCTCGCTGACTCGGTTGATGCATGTCATCTATCCCAATTGCATGGATCGATGCTCGTGATATTTATCACTGGATTGTCTGGTCCAGACTCAATTATTTACAGACCGCCGTCATATAGCTGAAATATTGCTGAGTGCGGCGTTAAACAACAAACCAACCAAATAAACCAATGATAGCCGTGACTATCCGTGACCGTGATATCCTATATTAAGAAAATAACTCTCAGCTACACATTATTGATGTTGTTTGGTGTCATGGCCGACGTTGGTATCCGGTGTTCACACCGACAACAGGTACGCCGAGTCAAGGTCCGACCATATAGTCGAGATGTAGCTGGGTCGATGTTTCGTCATATATTTTAAACAACAAACCAACCAACCAACCGCCCAGAATATATAATAATTGGTCCCTTAGAGTGTGTAGGCTGTTGAATTTGTTGTCTTTCTAATCCTTTATTGTGACAGAGATACAAATATATTATAACTTAATAAGCAATGCCATAATGTATAAGGATTGTGGAAGTTCTGACTGAACAGTACAAAAGTGACAAACAGTCTGGGTCTTCACCCACCTCTCAAAGAGACAGTGCATCAAAAAATCCCATGACATGAATGAAAGTCAGAGCACAGTGAAAAACACATTCTTCTTCTTGTGAATGTTCTGACATGACAAATGTGTATGTTTCCCTAACATCTGACAAATAAAGCTAATTCTGACATTCAGTTCTCAACACAGCTTTCATAAAGAAGTTCAGATTGCATATTGGTGCTATCTTTATGAGACACTGGTATTCCGTTTTTGAAAAATCCTTATTTATACTGCAATGAATATTGATAGTTTTACAAAAAACATCCATGGCAAGTATAGAAATGACATGATTTAGTACTCCTTCTGAGCACATATTTGAACATATAAAGCACTCTCATTGAAGCACTAAATGACAAGAGAAACTTTAAGAATCGCTCTAAAATTGCATGGTATGACAAAACTTTTGCAGTTAAAATATTAATTTACAAATGGGCAATTTTACTGATTCCTCCTACTTTTTATTGAATGTGTGCTATTTGAACCTTTCTAAGTGACACATTTGATTCAATAAGGGCTGGTCAAATTACTCTGCATTGTGGAACCTCTTCAGTTGAGCTTTGGTTTGCATTCTGCTGAGAGGGATGCTGAAAGAAAATATTGCTGAGCACCGCCTGTAGTAAGAGCGATACCAAAAGTAACTACTGTAACAGTGCTGAAAGTACCCTGTTGAAAGAACAGTGCTGAAAGTAGCCTGTTGAAAGAATAGTGCTGAAAATACCCTGCAAAAAGAACAATGCTGAAAGTACCCTGTTGAAAGTTCACAGCTGAAAGTACCCTGCAAAAAGAACAATGCTGAAAGTACCCTGCTGAAAGAACAATGCTGAAAGTACCCTGTTGAAAGAACAGTGCTGAAAGTGCCCTGCTGAAGAACAATGTTGAAAGTACCCTGCTGAAAGAACAATGCTGAAAGTACCCTGTTGAAAGAACAGTGCTGAAAGTGCCCTGTTGAAAGAACAATGTTGCAAATACCCTGCTGAAAGAACAATGCTGAAAATACCCTGCAAAAAGAACAATGCTGAAAGTACCCTGTTGAAAGTTCACAGCTGAAAGTACCCTGCAAAAAGAAAAATGCTGAAAGTACCCTGCTGAAAGAACAATGCTGAAAGTACCCTGTGGAAAGAACAATGTTGAAAGTACCCTGCTAAAAGAACAATGTTGAAAGTACCCTGCTGAAGGAACAATGCTGAAAGTACCCTGTTGAAAGAACAGTGCTGAAAGTGCCCTGTTGAAAGAACAATGTTGAAAGTACCCTGCTGAAAGAACAATGCTGAAAGTACCCAGTTGAAAGAACAGTGCTGAAAGTACCCTGTTGAAAGAACAATGTTGCAAATACCCTGCTGAAAGAACAATGCTGAAAATACCCTGTTGAAAGAACAGTGCTGAAAGTACCCTGTGGAAAGAACAACGTTGAAAGTACCCTGCTGAAAGAACAATGTTGAAAGTACCCTGCTGAAAGAACAGTGCTGAAAGTACCCTGTGGAAAGAACAATGTTGAAAGTACCCTGCTAAAAGAACAATGTTAAAAGGACCCTGCTGAAGGAACAATGCTGAAAGTACCCTGTTGAAAGAACAGTGCTGAAAGTGCCCTGTTGAAAGAACAATGTTGAAAGTACCCTGCTGAAAGAACAATGCTGAAAGTACCCTGTTGAAAAAAAATTGCTGAAAGAACAATGTTGAAAGTACCCTGTTGAAAGTTCACAGCTGAAAGAACAATGCTGAAAGTACCCTGTTGAAAAAACATTGCTGAAAGAACAATGTTGAAAGTACCCTGTTGAAAGTACCCTGTTGAAAGTACACTGCAGAAAGTACACTGCTGAAAGTACCCCTTTGAAAGAACATTGCTGAAAGAACAATGCTGAAAGTATCCTGTTGAAAGTTCACA